ATTTATTCCTATTTCCCACATTCACTTTAGGATCCCACAGTTTAAGAGGTGACAATGTTCAAAGACCTTCCAACAAACTGTCAAGCCAAAGTACTCCGGAGACAAGATTTAGGAAGCAGACTTGTGAGAGATGAGTTACACACAGTTACAAGTTAAATGTTAACAGGAGAGATATACAACAAGATATATGGATGAAGTTAAGCACAGTACACATTTTTAAATGACATTTAACTGCCACAGCTGATATCAAGGTTATGACAAAAAAGTGACCACAGACAACATATAAATAGAGATGATGCCTATAATCATCATGATGCAAAACAGACACGCTGGGATGATACAAGCAAATGCATATTCTATCCAAAACCACACCTACCGAGATGGACAGTGCTAAAGGAGAAGAATCAATTCAACTATAAATAAAAGGCATTTCCAAATGGTCCAACTAGGGAAAAATACCAATAATTGTACTCAGCAAAGCAGTAGACTGAAGGTTTCTAAAGTCTGCTTCTCACCAGGCAGAATATCATCATCTGGAATCCACATATAATCTTGCCTCCCAAAGGGTCTCAAAGCTCTTTAAAAGGCTATGCAGACAAAACTGCTTCCACCTTGTCCTGCTACCTCTGGGATGGGGGCACACACATGGCACATACCGACTCTACATAATAAGTCAGGACAGGAAGCTAAGACAAGAAAACCAAATGACATTTACAGGGAAATTTAGAAAGGAAAACTATAATTACCTGTGTGTTACACGGTTTGTAACACACACGGAGCTGGTTAAGGACATTGGTTAGATGTTTACTTGAAGAATATGGCTAATGGTGTACAGCTCGCTGAAAATAATTTGAGGCATGAGTTTGATACCAGTTTCAAGGGAAAAATGATACTCAGTTCACAACTTTCAACAACTCCTGAAACACCTGTCTGACGTGTGTGTCTTCCAAGTATGTAACAATTGAGCCTTCTCCAAAGAAGTTTGTGGAATCTCACTGCATCATGGCCTGCAGAGTTGCAGAACAAATTTGCAAACTTATTTGAAATTGAAACTTGGCATTTGTAAGTTCAATGTTTGTGATAAACACCCTGGCTTTATTTAAAAAGAAAAAGCTAAATGATTTTAAACAATACAAAAACCCATGCCAGCTATCAGAAGATGAATTTTTACTGCTGTAGTTAAAAACAAGTCTATATTTACATATGTACCTACACCTATCACCATCATCTCTGTATTGGGATTGAAACTGGTTTAAAAGGTTACACTGGGTTTTTATGCTGCTTGGATCATGAATGATGCCAGCAGCCCATTCAGAAATGCTAGTTTTAATTACAAACTTTAATGTCATATATATTTTAAACCTACTTATGGCCAGATGCGATCATCCTTCAAAAATTCAGAATAATTGAATAAAATAGGTCAAGTATTAATGCGAATCCAGTTTCATTCTTCTTCATCTCACACCATGGATGTATTTTTTTTCTGGTGTTCAAGCACACTTCCTCGGATATGACAGAAACACTATTCCTAAATGCAGAGATTGGACCCAGATCCACTTCTCCTCTTGAACCTTCTACACCTCTTTTTCAGCTGAATCTTGATCATTACTTTATTTCAATATAATATAACACGGTACAGTTCTATTAAAACATTGAAAATCAAGACATAATGATGAATAATAATAAAAAAGCAGGGCAGGAAGTTCTTTGCTTTACATCTGCTTTTCATTATATCACTTAATCCAACCAAATCTATGGACAATTACAAAACACAATCAGTCCTATGTTTGGAAATTCCTTCATGGCAAACTGCTTTATAGCGTCGATACAAAATGTCCTTGTTGTTTTGCACATAATATTCTCAGGGGAAAAAGTTTCACATGCTAATACATATACTTTATAAAGGCCAGATCTAAAATCTTGGGTTGATTAGTGATGTAAGACTCCGTTGAGGTCAAGTAGGGACAAAGACATTTGAAAGGGTCTCTTTTTCCCCATGGAACAGTGAATGGCAATACTGAAAATACAGATCAATAAAAAATAGCAAAAAGTCTTATCAAAATTTGAATGCGTTTGGGGAAAAAGGCCTAGAAGCTTGAGCTGTGCATTATAATAGCATGGATAAAACCTGAGCAGGGAAAAGACAGGTTTTTCCACAACTGTCTTCTCAACCAGACCTTAGCCGGGGTCGGGAGGAACTGCTGCTAAGGCTAAAACAGATTGCACTCTACATGCCGTGTTTCTTCAGCTGAGCCAATAACGTGCTGCATTGGTTCTAATCTGAATCCTAAATAACAAGCTGCCTAAACATCTTCTGAACTTTAAACTGATTAAAATCCATCTCTGCTTGCCAAGACACTTGAAAACGTGCCAAAATACTAGACGTGTTAAGGTAGTCTTTAATTACTATTAACTGCTACTACTGTTTTCCACAAAGAAATCTGTCTTATACACTAGAAAGAATGGATGGTCTTCATTTAATAAGAAGCTATTCAGGATTTCATTTCTCTTTACAGCTCAGTGTATGTATGGCCCAGATCATACCATACAAACGCTGCTATGCAGAAAGATTAATTTTGGAGTGGTCTTTTCCATGCTACTTGTACTACCCAAATGCCCCACAAGCTTCAATGAATTTTAGAAGTAAAGGTGGGCATGAAATGTGTAGGGGTGACCCAATTTTACAGTGAGCAAGATTAAATTCAAACGTATCTACTAATTTTGGGTGCTGATATTTCAGAGAACTTCAAATGATATAGGAATGCCTATGTTCAAAACACACCGCTCACTGGCTTTATGTGCAGCTGTGAGGGCTCCTCAGTACCCAAACCCAGGCCCCAGGTCTCACATGGGACTCCCAGAAGAAGAGGAAAAAACAGTTAGTAACCACATGTGAATCATTTAGTTAAATAACTGTTCTGGCAACACACAGGAACTCCATGGCAGAAACTGAGACAGAATCCAATTCTGCATGGTGACATTCAATTGCCTTAACGGTGGCACTATCCTTTTCTTGCAATCCTCTACTTCATTCACTCCCCACCCCTTCTACCTTCAGTAATAAATAAGACAGGGGTCCTATGGAAAACAGCCCCCCTCTGCAACCAAGCACTGACACATCCCCAAACTGAAGTGAAAAATATAGCATGTGAGGCTGTAATTAAAGACTGAATTATAAGACAGACACACAAGGGCTGAATTTAGGTTTCATGGTAACCTTAATTCTGGCATTGCAACCTTAGTAATGATGTTTTATGATCTTTTAATGTAGATTGTTGCATCTAATAATTTGTATGGAACAACCATTAAAGAACGTTAACAGTGAGACCTAATGACCTGCAGCATCCATTAATGTTTTAATTATAAAAGAGCTTGAGATTTTTACACTGGATTTAAAACAAGCATTTTCCTATGATTGCAAGAGAAAATCGCCCCTCCCCCCAGTGTGCTGTTAAAACCAAACAGAATCTATTAATCTATGCTGCTTCATTACCTTTCATTAAGGCTTAGTGAGAAACTACTCACAGCAATTCATGACATTTAATTTAATTGCCTGAGTGTATTTGATGATAAACACTTGCTTAAGATGGTCTTCATCAACACAGCTTTGACCTAGGTCTAAAGTTGCCTTTGTTTACACACTCAGACTGATAAACCATGATCAGAGAAGTGAATTACAGCAGTATTTGGAGATCAAGTTTGAACAATAAGAGGCACGTAGTGGACTTACTAAGTACAAACCTGCTGCAGTGATCTGACTCACTAACGAGCTGTGCAACAACGACAGTAATATACATACCCCATATTTCTGGAAAGGATGGAGGAGTGAGATCATGGTGCCAAGAAAAATATTCCTTCAAACTCCTAAGCTCTTCAAAGGATGCAGTTTAATACACTGCACCACTACTTTGCTGTAGCAAGTATTAAAGCACCTTCCTGTGCTCAGGACTTTTAACTGGTAAGGCAAAAGCTCTGAGTAACAGAACAGAATTTGCCCAAATGCATTTTACTTATTAAGATCAAACTCTAGAAGCTCTTCCCATCCCTTTTTATTTCTGTTTTAAAATCAGCATTCTTGGCAAATTAAAGAAAAAGTTTTTAAGCTGGGAGAGCTCCCATCCACTCCCCTCCAACCCTTCATCCCCTCTCATTCACCAACTTACTTGCTAAAATCAGATCAGTGCTTCCAGGATGTTTCTCCTGATATACAGACTGAAGTTAGGGCGACCTTTTAAAGTAGGGCACATAACAATCCATAGGACCGAATAGTGCTAAGAAACTCAAACACCTGATGTTGCAGGACTTGCCCCTATCTTTGGAGAAACTCCTGTATGCAACAGTCTAAATGAGAGGAAGCTCAAGCTCTCTTCCTCGACTTATTTTTTCTTTAATCAGGTCATCCCAATATTAATGGTCCTGAATGCTACATAACACTAAATATAATGCTATATGAATTCTGTATATAATTCTTAACTGTCCCAAAGAAGTAGACAATGGATGGATTTGGGCCCTGCATTGCAAAACAAGAACCTGATGTGATTAGGCTCTCCGGGTTCAATTATATCCAACTCTTCCATCCCCACAGGATTCTGCTCTACCAAACTCCCTCCCTGTATCAAAGCTGATACGTTAGTTTTTGGCCCATCTCTACATTCCAGGCAAAGAAAGAAACTACATACTAGACTAGACTCTGACAAAGACACCAAAATCAGACATGTTGATGGGAGTATTAGCAGTCACTGAAGGGACTCCAATGCCTTGGAGGTCTAAAATATTGTACATGAGAAGACCACTGACATGAGCTAAGGAAACACTAAGAATGCAGCAAGATGCTCAACAACGAGAACAGGAGCGAGACAGAATGTATGGGTAATTAATGAAGAGAAACACATGTTAAGAGAAGTGGAAAAGAAATGAGAAAATACGAAGTGTGGGAGAGAGGACTCAACTATATTTTTGGAGCACCAAAAAGTGTTCTGAATAAAGACGTATGCACATACCTGGTTTTGGCACTGAGTTAGTCACAGACTGAGGAACTTTGTCGTTAATTAGTTCAACACACTCGCTAGGAAAGAATCCCACCTGCAATAAAAAGAAAAGCAGAGGCAGGGCATGAGTGCAAGGTAGTAAGGATGGTATGGTTCAGGTTGCAAACACAGTCCATCGTTGTGCCTGTGAAGCCAGGTGTTAGCTTTCCTTTTTTAAGAGCATTTGTATGTTGCTATATACCAGTGGTCGGCAATTTTTCAAGGCTGCAGGCTGGAACAACCCAGCTGAGGTCTGCGGGGGGTCAGCATCCTGACCTGGTCACTGCTGCAGCTTTTCCTGCCATTGCTTCTTGCCACCCAACCCCTGTTGCAGTGTGGGTGCAGCTCCCAGCTACCTGGTCCCAGCACAGGCACAGGTGAATCCCTTTGCTGCTGGAACAACACTAAAGCCGCCCCATCCCGCCTTCCTACAGCCAACATGCTACAGAAAATCCCCCAGATTCAGCCCATACGCCATACATTGCCAATCTCTGCATATGACATTATTGAACATACTAGGAACTGGTATAAAAATGTAGCTTTCCTAAAGTGAAGCACCCAAAGTCCACGAGTCAAATATTTCACTCTGTAATGTATGCTGAACCTTGTTACTGAACCACTTCCAAAGCCTGGCTGTTACCTTTACATAGGACACAAATACTTAAGCTTGCAATGAACTACGCATATGTCCACACAGAGAAGAGTTTCAGTTAGTGGTGTTGGACATCAGTGCTGGGTTGAATTTCCCCCACTGTACATGCCAGGGAAGAGGCAGTATCCATGCAGCTCCTAATATATTTCACTCAGTTGAGCCCAACATGTTAGTACATACATTTTCTACAATCAATATGAAGGTTATACATCCATTCCATTTTTAATTGCTTTAAAAATGAAGTGACATACTGATTCATCTATTTCTGCGTTTTCTGTTGCAGTTGCTTTTACAATCTTCTCTTCTAAAAACCTGCAGCTTCTGCTGTTGTAAGCAAACAAAACCTATCTGAATACACAACCTCAACATACTGCAGTGGTTTTCAAATTTCCTCAAGTCACTTCTGCTGCGGGACCCTATTCCTATCCTAAACAGCTGACAAAGGGCCAAGTGACCCAACCAAGCAAGGTGGCGCAGTCTCCTGGCCTGCTCTGCCATCACCCCCGTCTCTTTGCAGACCCCTGATGATCCCTGGCAGAACCCCAGGAGTCCACAGAGCACAGTTTGCAAATAAATGACATACTAAATACAAGCCCTTATGCATGCAGCTGGCTTGAAGCAGATGAGCACTCAATGACACTACTCAGGTACTTCAAGTACGGCATGTGTTGAAAGAACCTCGTAAAGCCCAATATGGATGTGCTTAAAACAGATTAAATCCAACCTCAACGAAACACTGAGAATAGGCTTAATTAAATATACATAGAGTAAACGGGATTGTCATTCCCAGCTTGTGAGTCATAGCTTGTCTAAAAATAAACAAATGCTGGAAGGGAAAAAGAGCGAGGTGGAAGGCAGGATCCAGGGGAACGGGCACCGCCAGACCCAGGACACCCGGTTTCAACTCCCAACTCTGCTTTCAGGATTTCACAAATCATGTCACCTTTGTGTCTCGGTTTCCCCCATCTATAAAACAGGGACAACACCACGCAGCTACCCTTAGAAAGTGGTTTGAGGTCTATGGCTGAAATCTTGATACAAGTGTCCGTTTTTAAAGGAGTGCTATTATTCTTGGGCTCATTAATCAAGCTGAAGCAGAAACACTATTCCAGAAACAAATCCCAGAGACCAAATCCTTCCTGGCCTATATTTACAAATATTGCAACAGTTGTGATCTTCCCTGGATTGCCCCACAGGGACATGACTGCCAAAACCTTACAGCCTGCAGAATGTGCTTGCTTGCTCTCTGACAAATCATCACTGAAAATGGAGCTGTTGTCAGCAGCTTGATTTATAATGAGATTCTCCAAGTGATAAACTTCAAATGCTAATTGGCAGCATTCTCACGCTGACCTTTAAGACTGCATTTTTTTGAATCCCACCTAGGTCAGGAAGGCATTAGCAATCTCCTACATCAGTATAACTGTCTCAGTGGTCTAGAGGGGCATGGAAGGTCTGGGCAGCCTCCACTCCTCCATACTCCTGCCTAGGCGTATGTGTGAAATGTCCTGGGGACCTCCTATGCATACGCCATAATCCAGAAGGACTGACACATGCCTAGTACAAAGGGCCACATGAGACCAGTTTTTTGGTTAACTGGATTTCTGGCAGATTTTAAAGCACCTTTTCGTTGATCTACAAAGTTTGGAAGAACGATAAACACAGACAGGCGCTCAAAGTAAATTTTGCAAATTGTGCCTTTTTACTTATTTGGCGTCTCCAGTTCTGCTCTCTCCCAAATGAGAACGTTTTCCTCAACTCCAGCTTCATTTTAATCTTTAAATGCACACCCACTATACCATCATCAAGACAGTGCATCTCCCAAGCACAAAGCTAGAAAATGGCCCATTTGGCTCCTTTGGCTGTCCTAGACTCATACAAGAATTACAGTAAGCTTACTCTTTCCTTCATTGCATTATATTCCTGTAGCAATGGGAAAGTGTGTAATCTCATTCTATCATATCGTATTCTTAAAGCTACTCTACTCAACACAGTGCATGCACAGTACAACCTCTTCTACCTCTGTCCTTGATACTTAAATTGTAACAAATACAAAACTTAGCCTGAAATTCCTCCTGAGCTTGGCTACTTGCAGGATTCTCTCTCTGCAGGACTGGTTGTTCTTCCCTACACCTTAAAGATGTAAAGAAACCTAACATTTTATATTTCTGGGTTGCAGATAATTAAGCTCCTCTACTCTGGGGGCATGGGCACCAGCAGAATAGTACTGACCTGGCAAGGCACGGGGACTCAAGAGTCTAGCTTCCTTGCAGCAGCACCTGGTCTAGCTGAAGCACAGCAGTTTATTGGTCCCTATAGCCCCTAAGCACTTCAGCTAATCCCAAACTTTGAAGCTATAAACTTAAAATTTGTAAACAACCTGAAAGGGAGGATGAAGATTTAATCAAAGCAATACGAAGTTCCAAAATTGCAACCAAGTGAGAGCATGATCTTGAATATATCAGGGAGTACATCCAAGATCAGCAGTATGTTCTTCATTAGGTTACTCCAATAAAGCCATATTGTTTGTTAAAGAAGCATTTTAGATCAATGAGATTGGTTTGGCTGATCTGGCTCAGTCTCCTGATTAATGAAAGACTGGCTCGAGTACTGCCTTTCTGAACAACTGACGCATCAGGCGGGAGAACTTATCTGTGTGCAGTGACACATGGCTTCTGGGACAACTAGCAACAGGCACTCAACCAAGTGTGCCAACCTAACAAAGAGATGGAAGTCCTGATTTCAGCCAGTTTGCTGTACAGCTCGTGCTTTAATTTAGACACATGAATGCTCTCAGACTTGTCACAGAGGAAGGATGGTGACTTGCAAAATTGTTAGTGTGTGAACTTTGGCATGCTGCTCAGCCCTTCTGGGGTCGTAACAGCCATAAACCCATGGCATGGTCTGGGATCGAGAGAACACCAACCTCTCTTCCCTCTTCCTCATTGTTTTATGAGATGATTTTTAATGTGCACGCCTACTATCATCAGCAAAGCCCATCGTTGCAATTTTCAAAGAAATACAGGGAAATGCCAGAGATTCCATTAACGTTAATGAAAGTCAGAGGTCTTTCTTCACTTCTCGTTTGGTGTATGTTGAAATCAAGATCCATGATCCCAAGCATAATCAAGTGCTGATTTACTATTTCAGTGCTTAACACATTACAGAATGCAACACGCTGTTCACTTTCAGTCAGAAGTCTTGACAGCGAACTCCAAGATATGCATCTGTGGCATTACTTCTAGGCATCTTGGAAACCATTTCAAACAACTGTGGTTCTCCAAGCAAGCCGTGGTACATATTCAGGATACTTCCATCCTGCCAGGTTAACAACAAATAATAGTAAATGCCAACTACAGAAGAGATTCACCTGCACTTGTCCCAACAAATTCCTGAATCTACATACTAGTACTATGGCTGAAGCTTTGTGACTGATTTTTTCCCCAGCTCCCCCAAAGATCATTACTGGGGGCACAGCCAGCCTTGTTCCCACCCAGTTTCCATCTGCTTCTTTTCCTTCTGTACAAAGTTTTCATGGTTTTACATAAATGAGTTAGTCCAAAAGTTAATCTCAACAGATGCAGCAGGGCTTTCTGAGAGCTTGATCCAAGATTAAAGGATTTGGCAACCCACTAAAATGAATGGGGGTAGGGGAGGATGATAAATATTTATCTAAAATATAAGGTCATCTAAAGGCAAAAATCCCTTCCCACATTAAAAGGGAGAAGAGCCGGGGTTACTATGACACACACTTAAGGTTTCTGTTACCACAGTAATTATACCTGAGTCTTAGTTTTTATGCCAGCCCCAAGGTATCTTCTGATACTGGCACCGGAAGATGCACAATGCTTTCAAATGTTATGATCAGAAATGATCAGAAATTAGAAACAAATTAACAGTAGCCACTTCCAGTATGCAGGGAGTGAATGTAGCCAGAGGTCGTCATTCCTGTTTTATCAAGCACTCCAGGGCAAAAGGAAAATGCTTTTCCTTTTCCTGGAGTCTATGGGTTAAATTCCCCTGCTGTGGATTCATGTCCCTTTTAATTTTAAACCGTGATAGACCAACCGTGATAGACCTGATTCTAAAACCTCGCCTTTCCATTGCTATTTTGGTTTCCATTATCAAGATTTCCTGCTTTATTGACATGTTACCAGCTTTATTTTCACATATGCTGTTTGCCAGGTAGTTAAAATTGTGACTGAGGTGGCAGAGAGAGAAGACCCCTCACTAATATAACATAAGTAAATTAAGGAAAAATTTAATTTACTTACTTTGATCTCACTGCCATCGCCTGTCAGAATTTCATTTGCTTGCTAGAAGACGAGAGAACATTTCCTTCTCTCTCCCTCTTTCTTGCTCTCTCAGTTCTCCAGCACTTTTGTTTTATTTAAGCCACTGAT